GTTTGGCTTTTCAGTGTTCAGATGTCCTTAATCACGATACTTCTTTCCTCTTTGGGCCTTGTACCTTCTTTTCTTTCGAACCTTTCATTACATTCTCCAGTCAGTGCAAAAAAATGACCTGGAGACCTCTCCGACGTGTCTTCCCTTTTCCAGGTCTCAAGCAAAAAGTGACCCTCTCGTCTCTCCCTCTTGCCTCTGGGCTATTCCTTTCCTTTGTCCTCTAACCAGATCACCCATCAACCATACTTGGAAGAAAGTTCCAGGAAGTATAAACAAATGAAAAAAGGACAAAGAAGGAAGGAAGGAAAAATAGAAAAAAATATATAAAACATATATGAAAAAATAAAAAAATACATTGGTGTACCACCACAATATCTACGGAGACTTGAGAGACTCTATGTGATGATTTCTTGTAACCATGAACGAATCAAAAGACGATATAAGATTAACGAGAACATTTATTAGCTTACATACATTCGACTTGGATTTTACACAAATTGCGAAATTATACCCCAACTTATGTGAATTCAACTTACACAGTTATCGCTCAGTCCCACCTCGCTCGGTTATCACGTAAGTTCGAGGTATTACTGTAATTATATAAGAAAGGAATGAAACTGGAACCTTAATTAAATGAAAAGAAAACTCAAACAGCTTCAGCTAAATAGTAGTCTGAAAATGTACCTAATAAATCTTTATTTTTGACTTTGTTAACAAACAGTCTATTTTTTTTTAATATATATATTTATATATAATTGTAAATTCAAAATTTTGTGTTTTAAATATTTATATGATTTAATTTTTAGGCTTGATGATAATCAACCAGGAACTCCTTTAGCTGATGAACCACCTGTTGATTTAGAAACTGAGTTGGTTACAGATCAGAAATTGTCTACTGATGCATTGCAGAACACATTAGATTCTCCTTATGTTTCATCACTTCCTATTGATGGTGTTTGTATTGAAAGTCAAGGTGATAATTCACTATCTCCAAGAATGGATAATATATCAGGAAACACTATTATGACAATTACTACACGTGGTCCAAAATATATGCATTCGGTAAGTTAAAGCAAAAGATTTCATCATGTTAAAAATTAATGTCATTACATCATGTCATTACATATTAAACACTCTTAAATGCTAGTAAGTTTTAATGAGTCATTCCATAATATATTTTAAGAATATAGAATAGTTTTATATTTTTTTATGATTGGAATTCTTTAAAGATTAAATAAATTATTTTTAAAATTTTAGGGATTCAATACTTACAGTGGATGTCTTCAAAATCAACATTCAAGACAGTATCAGTCACGATCTAATTCTTCTAGAGGACCGTCCCATGGTAAATTTTGAATTGAATTTTAAATATGTGATTTATTGTACTAATTATGAATAAACAACTTTAACTTCAACTTATTACTTTCCTGGCTGTTATATATAACAAAAATAAAGTATGGTGATCAGTCAAAAAATGACCCCCAAGACATTTTTGGACTTAGAACAACTTGAAGCATCAAGAGAAATGCAAAAAAAAATATGGGGATAATTTCTGTGTGTATGGATGCTTGTGTGTGTGGTGCACAGTTTTGTTCACCCTGTTTGAAGATTAATAACCTGGGATATTACATCATCTTGTTAGAACCACATATGCTGCAATCCTTATATCAGTTTTAGGCAAAAGAAAGTTTTGTAACACTGTTCTATAGCAATAAGCAGTCAAAGTAACAACATTTTTGTTGTCATCTTCAAAGAGGGTCCAATGATGTCATCAGCCGAAATTACATACCAGTTACTTTACTAGGGTGAATAGGTCATTCATGAATTAATCTTGGGTTTTCTGTTACCCAGACTGACTATTCTGTTTGTTAACAGATCCACTTAAATCAAAATTATCTTTGTCACACATAATGAAATTTTCAAAGAAATTTGGGTTTTCAATACTCATCTGTAACACTTCTGAATTCCATTCATGGTGGCATTTATGGTCATTTTGCAACTGTAGTATTAAATGAATCTTGTATAAGTGAAACTGCAGATCCTTCCATAAAATTTTCCATGCAGTTGTTGAAGTAGCACCAATTTCTTGTGTTGTCTAACAAAGGTCCTGGATATATATCAACACTTTTCCTCATAGCATCAATGTTTTGTGGAGTAAATCTTGCAGAGTATATTGCATTTGAAAATTATTGATTATACTCTGAATTCTTGGCTTTGAAGTAACGATATATGTCCCAAAATAATCTCAGTTTTCTTTGATGATATATTTTGATTAAAAGTTTTAATAATTATAATAGAGCATTTGATACAGTCTGTAAAGAAATTATAAACTCAAGTGAAATTTCTCTGTGTTTTAATTTCTTTTCATCCACAGTTCGTTGTTGCTATATCTAATGATTTTAATTAGTGTTACGAATTTATAATGAAATAAACAAGTCTTTGTATTGTATCATTTTAATAAACAATCAAAAATTTTAATTGTTACAATTTTTTGTTGTAAACAATTTATAAACTCAAGGGTGAAAACTGATTATTACAGTTGAATGGAACAATCCATTCAACTGTAATAGTAATGTAAATTAGTATGTGTAACATTTTGGGTGAGTCTGAGAATTCAAACTAAAAAAGTGACAAAAATGCCAAGGGGAATAACCCTAACTGAAAGTGAAATATGAAAAATCTATTTCTTTAAGGGAAAAGGATGGCCAACTCGAAAAATTGCTTCAAAACTTGGTAGATCTCAAACTGCAGTACAAAATGTACTAAAAAAGGGTGACAATTATAACAAAATTAAACGTACAGGACGAAAACCAAGTCTGCAGCCTCGTGACCATTGCCGCATTGCTAGTCTTGCAACAAATGAATCATTGTCTACTCGTGAGATAGCTGCAGTTTTACCAACTCCAGTGTCCCACAAAACTGCGTGGAAAAGCTTGAGAAAGAATAAAACAATAAACTTTATGAAATTGAAGTCCAAACTAAAGCTAACAGAGTTACATCAGTCAACAAGGCTGCAATGGGCAAAAGATCATGTTACCTGGACAACTGAATGGAGAAAAATAGTTTTCTCAGATGAGAAAAAGTTTAACCTGGATGGTTTGGATGGCCAAGCATATTATTGGCATGATACAAGAAAGAATCCCAGGGTCAAATTCAGTAGACAACAAGGTGGAGGTTCAGTAATGATCTGGGCAGCAATTGGATATGAAGGAAAAACAATTTGGCATTTATTAATGGGCGAATGAATTCTGAGATGTACCAAGCTATCTTATATAAACATCTAATCCCTTTTTGTCCTCTCATTGGTGGTCAAGACTGGATTTATCAACAGGACAATGCATCTGTTCACAAGTCAGCCAGTACTACAAAGTGGTTTTCACGTGAAAAAATTGAAGTTATGGTTTGGCCAACACATAGTCCAGACCTTAATCCCATTGAAAACCTTTGGAGTCAACTTGTGGCATTAGTTTATTGCCGTGGAAAACAATACAACACATCCGATGAGCTTAAAGTTGCATTGTATAATGCCTGAGACAAAATTAAACTAAGTGACATTTAAAACCTGGTTGATTCAATGCCTAAACGAGTTGTAGAAGTAATTGAAAACAAGGGAGGGTCCACAAAGTATTAAAAACGTACTAAATCACCCTTGAGTTTATAAATTGTTTACAACAAAAAATTGTAACAATTAAAATTTTTGATTGTTTATTAAAATGATACAATACAAAGACTTGTTTACTTCATTATAAATTCTTAACACTAATTAAAATCATTAGATATAGCAACAATGAACTATGGATGAAAAAAAATTAAAACACAGAGAAATTTCACATGAGTTTATAATTTCTTTACAGACTGTAATGACAGCGTGTATAGCCTTTCCCTCCACTTTTCGAATTAACTGCAGCTGCTGCTCCCAGTGATATTTCTTGAGAAGAAATCTCATCTATGTAAAGTAACTTTTCTTTACAAATTACGAACTGATTACAGGTATAAAGCTGCTTGAGGGTACCATTTTTATTTGCTAATTTATAAAAGTTGGAGTCTTCTATTCCAACGACAATTGCCAACATATTTCGGGCATCTGTATGGCCACGGTCAACATCAGGGACTTGTAATTGTACAGTATCACCAATTTGAGCAGAAGGAAATGATAAAGAATTTGGTGACAGACTGTCGTTTCTGTCAACATTGGTTTCTCGGGTGTCGTTTCAACCTCCACCAAAGCTTATCTATGCTTGTTGACATACACCAGCAGTTGTTCAAATGTATAATAATATAACCAAATATTTGCTCTTTCACCAACATATTTTGTATGTGTTGACATTCACCGGAGAATATCGACATTCTCTAATTTCAGTCTTTCACAGTAACATATATATATAAATTTGATATTGAAGCACTTATGAAGTTGATAAGTCATTAAAAAAATGATTTATTTTTATTATACTGTATCAACTATGTTTGTACATATGATTAGATTCAAAACATATAGTAGGATAAGTAATTTTTTCAATTAATCTAATTTCTTACCTTCTTGTTATATATACTGGGTGTGTTACTTAGTAAAGTGACTTTAGTACAGCTGGATAAGCAACCCAGTGACAGTCTGTTACAAATTAAATGAATTGTCATTGGTTTGCTTATCCAGCTATTGATACATTAAAGCTGCTTTATATTTATATATTAATAGCAAAAACAACATTTAAAAAGAACAATTTTTCTAATTAAATTAGAAATGTACTGTACTTCAGAAGATTAATAGTATGAATATTTAAAGACAAAATGAAAAGTAATCTGTTTTCTGCAATTATTTATATGGTGCCATTTAATCATAATATGGAATATTGAAATCAGTTTTAATTCTTATAAAACATATAAAGTAAATTGAACAGTTTTGACAAACTATTAATATGTTATTAATTTAATTAAAAACATACATATCAAAATTATTTCAAATATTTTAAATATAAAAATATGATGAATTTAATATATTTTAGGGTGCTCGAATGGTGAGAGAATTATTTGAAATGGCCAGAAATAAAAAAGCCTGTTTAATTTTCTTTGATGAAATTGATGCAATTGGAGGTAAGATATTTGAAATATTTACAATTTTTTAATCAAATTAATTGAGTTGACTTTGAAAGAAATTGTATTTAAATTTCAGGAGCAAGATTTGATGATGGTGCAGGAGGAGATAATGAAGTCCAGAGAACTATGTTAGAATTGATTAATCAGTTGGATGGATTTGATCCAAGAGGCAATATTAAAGTACTTATGGCTACTAACCGGCCAGACATACTTGATCCTGCCCTTATGAGACCTGGTCGATTAGATCGTAAAATTGAATTTGGTTTACCAGATCTTGAGGTAATCATTTTAAGATATTTTTTAATGATAGTTAATAACATATTTTGTAGAAAATTATATGATTGTAAAAGTTTCTCATGTTTTGTTTCTGCAACAACCTGTTTTTAAACATTAATTTCTAATTAAATTTTTAATGTTTAGATGGAAACAAATTTTTTTTTTTATATCTAAGTCAGGGGTCGCCAAAGTGGTCGATATCGACCCCCAGGGGTCGATATAACATTATTAGGGGTCGATTATCAAGCTTAAGCTAAGGATAAGGGCGAGCTAAGGATCAAGCTTATCTGTTTCACTGATTGTCAGTTACAAAAATTATTATTAACGAATATACAATAAATGAAAAAAAAATGCAAAATTAAAAGAAATGTATTAAAATAGTAAGTATTTTGTTTTGCTTTTAACACAAACTTTTTGATGGGGTCGATGTGAGGTTTCGAAAACTTGTAGGGGGTCGACGATCAAAAAAGTTTGGCGACCCTTGATCTAAGTGGAATAACAAAACAATTAAATAACATTAAATAATACAGCATTTATAGAAAAAATGCAAATTTTAAAGTTTTTTAATATTTCTAAAATAAACACAAGTTTAATTAAATACATAATTTATTCATTTTATTATTACTTTATTTATTTTGTTTACATACCTACATTTTGATTACTTATGCAAATTTTATTATTTTGAGATTGCAATAATTGAGATATTAAAGTACAGTTGACATATTATTAAGAATGATAGGTAGATTATGAAAGTGGAAATTTGATAAAACACAGATTTTTGTTGTTTCAAACATAACGTTGAGAAAAGATATTACCTAATAAATTAGTGACTGACATAGCTCAACCCACCAAATGAACGTTTGTTTTGATGCTATTAAGACTTATTTATACCAAAAAAATTTATTGTGTGTAAACAAAACAGTGAATAGTTTATTACCTGTTATTTTTATTATGATTATTACTCAGTTATATCAATTAATTTTATAGATGATTCAATAATTATTTAAAAATGATCAATTTATTTTAAAAAATTTTGGCATTTTTTTTGTTGTTCATGTAATAATTAGCATATTCAGTTAAAACTTAATTTAATTATTTAGATTTTGCATTAGAATTTTATCACATCCATTAAATTAAAATGAATATTTGATATCATATCAAGAGAGAATTATTTTTTAATAATCTGTCTATATTTTTTAATAATAGTAATAATTTTTCTAATGTTTTTATCATGTAAACATATTTAAATAAGTTTTCAGAAATCTTAAAATATTCAACTATTCAACAATATTTATTTAAGAAATTCTTTCAGCTTTTTTTGAAGTTCGTTCATCATATTACATTAACATAAAGTATTTGAAATAAATATAAAATTCAAACTAGTTGAGTTAAGATTCAGATATAAACAAATAATCTAATTAATATGAAATACTTCTTTAAAAATCCAAATTTCATTTCTTAATGTTTTCAATATAATCCTTTATAATATATTTAATTATTTAAATTTCTAGAAGGAATAGTTTTCAACAATCTAATTCTCTCAATTTCAACTGGTAAAAATATATAATTTCTTATATAAAATATAAATTAACACTTCACAGAAAATTTTTAAATTATAAAAAATTAATATTTTAAAGATTTAATATTTTATTTTGTTTTTCTTAGTGCTAAAGTGTTAAAAAATTTTTTTAAATCAAAAATTTAAATTTATAAACAAAACTTTTATGTTTTATTTGTGCTTCATGCTTTTTAATCTTTAATCTGTTAAAAATTTTATAATTTAAAAATTCCCTACAGTGTTTATTTTATGTAAAGAAGTATAGGAATTTTATAAGCAGTTAAGATGGAGAGAGTTAATCATTCAAAGACTGTTTTTAACTTTGTTCTTAGCATTTTAATTAATTAAGAGATTGAATATATTGAGAATGGAACAATATACTTGGAAAATATAAGTAAACTCTGAATACCTACTAGAGGTAGCTGTTAGGCACCATCTCTTATCTAAGTTAATAATTATTACTTAAATAATTTGTTAAATAATTTAAATCATCTGGTAGAAAAGAAATGGCCCAGGGTGGGGCTTGAACCCGCAACTTCCACTTACTGTGTAATGCACTTGCCAGTTATAAAATAGCAGATTTATAGCTTGAGTATTTAAGGCTATCATTTGGCTATACAGTATATCTATATATACATCTGGCTTCAGGTGGTTTAATATATTTATGTAAAATCTGAATTTGAAAAAAACTTTTTTTTATTAAAATAAGATATATTATATTAAGATGTAAATGTAAATAAAATGAAACTTTTGTTCATCATATTTAGACTGTCAACATTAATTATGAATTAGATGACAAAATGAATTTTTAAATGAAAACTTTCAGATTTATTTGAAACAAAAATTATTTTAGACTTGATTTTTTAAAAATTCATTTATTCATTTTTGATAAATTAATTAATTAATATCTTAGTATTATTCAAATAATTTTATCATAAAGATATTGAACAGTTTTACATTCTTATTTGGAAATTAAATTTTAATTTTGTCCAAGTCAGTTTCATTAGCTTTTGCTAAAATACATTAATTATCAACCATAAATTTATAAATCATGCTTTATTAAGAAATGATTGATTTTATATTTTTTTATTTTGCTATTTGTTGTTAATGCATAAAAGTTTTTTCGTTAGGGTCGTACTCATATATTCAAAATACACGCTCGTTCAATGAGTGTAGAACGAGACATCAGATTTGATCTCTTAGCTCGTCTTTGTCCCAATAGTACAGGTAAGAATTTAATTTTAAGACATTTCTAATTGATTTAAATAAAACAAAAATATAATTGATATATTTTGTTACAGGTGCTGAAATTCGTAGTGTTTGTACAGAAGCTGGCATGTTTGCAATTCGTGCAAGACGTAAAGTAGCAACTGAGAAAGATTTCTTAGAAGCTATCAATAAAGTTATTAAGTCTTATGCAAAATTTAGTGCAACACCACGTTACATGACTTACAATTAAAATATTTATTATATAAGAAATAATGGGGGAGTAGAATTCTTTTTATAAACAAATAATTCTTGTAAATATGGTTTGCTTTCAAATAAATCTTTTAAAACTGAATTTTTGAATATCTGAAGTCTTTTTTTTTGTTTTTTTAAATAATAATAATTGCTATTGTGGTTTTAAGTGTTTTTCAAAATCACAGATTTATTATTATTATGAATTATAAAAAAAGCAATTTTCTGTTTAAATGATACAGAAGTACTGAGATAAAGTCCTTTGATTCATCAGCCACAAACAGAAACTAGTATGATTTTATATTATTGAATGAATATATTTTAATAGAGTAATTAAATTTTAAACATTGGGAAAGTAATAATTTTTTTTACAGTTATTTTAAATAATTTTATAAGATTCTATTTGGCCAAAATTTTTAATTAAAATTTAAAAACATATCAGTTGTGAATTATTGAAACAAGTTGAATTACAGAAATCTTAAATTTTTGGAAAATTTTATATTAATTAATTGAAACAATTTAAACTTTTTAAAAATAACAATGGACAAATGTAACTTTCAGAATACCTAGAAAATCTGTAAAAATAACTGAAAATATTTGTTGTATTATGAGAATAAATAAAGAGTAAGTTTCTAAATATTTTGTTTAAATTTTACATTTTTTTATATTTTAAAACCTTAAAAAATTACTGATTATTAATAGTTTCGTATACCGCAATCACAATTTTATGGTTTGCAGAAATTATTTATCTAATAATGAGTTATCTATAAAAAAAAATCTATTTTTTCCCCCTCTAGAATTTAGTATTTGTTTAACAAACTTTACAGATGTATCATGAAAATGTCTAAATTCTTTTTATTTAATTTAGAAAATTATAAATTTTTAAAAACTTTTATTTTTATTTGTTTACAGTAATTTTGTAGGAAGTTAAGAGTAATAAATATACAATTGCTTATTAGTCTGCTTTCACATAATCTGATTGTTTGTCTGGAAAGGTAAAACCTGGGCATTGAATGTCAGCCGGATGAGTAGGAGGGCATTGTGGGAAATCAAACTTTCCGCACCATGAGTGTCCGCTTGGTGTGAAAAGTGTCATGCCTCGCAACTGGAGCAGATGCGAGTCTTCACACGATCCAGGTATTTGTTTGGATAGATCGTGTGAAGTGGCCTTAAAGAAACAGTTTATTATTATTATTTTTTAAACTTTAATAGATTATTACTTGATAAAAATCTGTCAAATGTTTATTACATTAAATCTATATACATTTTTTAAATTTAATTATTACTGTTTTTGTAATTAATCTTATAATTATTAGAATGATTTTTGTTTTTTGCAAAATGTTTTTGAAATAACTCGTTTGTTTCAGATGCAAAACAGAATATTTTTTATAAATTTATAATATTTCTACATAATTATTATATTTTAAATAATATACAGCACTTATTTTTATTTATAAAAGTTTTTGCCAAAAAAGGCAAATCCTATAATAATTTTTACTGGAAAATAATTTAAAATTTATTACAAAAAAAGGGGAAAAAACTATAATTTTAACATAAACAAATATTTAGCCTTTTATTCTTATGAAATTTGATACTCAATGACACTTTTTATACATTAATTTGAATATGTTTTTAGTGTTTAATGCTGATAAAAATCTAAATAGAAATTTAATTAACATAACTATAAAAATAAGTAAATGTCATGTATTTATTGAAGCAATCTCCAGGGACACAAGTTGAGGAATTTTGACTACTGTAACAATAGATTTTGTTTCTCTTAGTTTGCATTATCGCTGATTCAAATCCCACGTTGAATGTAACCATTTGTTTGTGTTGGATTTTAATGAAAATTGTTCTTTGAAACAAAAAAAATTTTGCATTTTCGTTCCTGAATGTATTAAAATAGAATTTAAAAGAAATTGAATGAACTTGAAGAATAAAAAATGTTCTGCTTATTGTGATTAAAGATTATATTTTAATAAATTCTCTTGAAAAAATAGTTTACAGGAAATTAGGATCATGTAGAAGTATTATCAGACTTTGTAGTTTTATTCTTATTTAGCTAAAGTTATTTGATTAAATCAGTAAATTTAAATTGTTAAACAGACTTTTAAATTATTTTGATTAGCAAGTTTGTGCGCTATAGCAGATGTGTAAGAGAATAGATACAGTATAAATACAATTTAATCTTAATGATAGAACACACTAAAAACTTTCTTTTTATTATAAAATTATGATACATTAATGAATATATGAATTATGAATACAAATTATATATATTGTATATAGTCATCATCCAATTCTATATTGAATATAAAATAATGTTTAAATAAAAATAATTTGAGAATTATTTTTAATATTATTATATTAAAATATATTATGTTAGATTTATACAGAACAGTATTTATTTAATTTATTTGGATTAGCCAGACTTTGAAATATGCAAATATAAGCATTATTTTTTATATTTATGTGATTGTCTGAGGTTATTGCATGTTTTTGGTAGTATTCTGTTATATAACTTCTTTTAGCTTATCATTGAATCAGCAATTGAACATATTATTTAATCAATTAAATGTACAAAAAATATTGTACTATTAATGGAATATGCAAATTTATATAATGATTAATGATCAAGAACAGTTTTTGTTGCTATTTTTGCACTGTAGGCACTAAGAAGGTCCTTTTTCTAGGGCCATTATGGGTTTGGCCGCACCTACGGCGGGGCAGCCAGATGACGAGGGACAAGATGATGTATCTGAACAATAAAAATATTATATTTGTAAAATAAACTGTATTGGAAGGAACAATTATTATTAGTTGATAACCATTAAAAGAATAATTTTAATCATGTTTGTTTAGAAAGAAAAATTAATTTATCATATTTATTCAATTGTAAAATGCCATTGAATCTAAGATGTACCTTAATTTCTACATGCTCACTGACAGATATTCTTCTTGAAAAATAGATAATTTGAGTCAAATTTATGTCAACAGAAATTCTGTTGACATAAATTTATCTATTTTTTCATTCAGTGACATAAATCAGAACATAGACATAAAACAGAATCAGTTCAATAGAGTTGATTCTGCTGACATAAATTTGTTCAATATTTATTTCATAGTAATATAAGTTATATATCACTGTTGTCTGTGGTATTGAAGTCAGAAATCTCTTCACTTTCCATGCTAGACTAGACTCTTCTGAGTCAACACTGGATTCTATGTTTACATCATTTCACATATTTAAAGCATTGGGAATTGCAATATTTCTGTGTGCTATGCAGTTTTTTTGGGATATTATTAATCCAGGTAATTACGACATTACTTTAATGGACTAATGAGATTGAGCTAAGTTGACCTCTTATATATTTACTATTATGAATGTTGGTCTAATAAAACGATTAAAATGATGCAATGGAATTAGTGACGTCTAATTACAGAAATAAGACATACGGCACTAGAAATCGCTAGTAATGATTTATTGCATCAAATCTAAGATGCATATGCATCCTATTTTCAGGGATACTAAAACTGAAGAAAATGTCATACATTGGAATAAATATGATAATATAAATGAACAAAAGATGTTGCACAGTATCACGATCCTAAAAGGAATGAGGCAACAACTGAGAGAGAGAGAATTTTACAGATGTAGAGTGAAATCAGACACTGCTACTCTTTGGTGACAATAGAAATGATGATTTATATAAATTAAAAATTCAATTTTCAGGATGGCCATAAAATTTCTATACAAGATTTACCCTTGGTCTTGGCAATAAATTCATCAGACAACGGATTACAGGTGAATCTAACAGGATGAAGTTGACTTAACAAATGACAGTTTACTTTGAGGCATTGCAAAAAAAAGATTTCTGCCTTACAACATTTGAAAACTTAAAAAGCTATTAGTTAGAGACTATTTTAATACGACAATCAGCTATCAATGTAGTTGATGGTAACCAGAAAAATATAGTGAAAAAATTAAAATTTGTGCGTTAAAGACTAACTACTATGTATAAGGACTTTTTAAACATTCTGTAAGAGTAATTTTAAAGTCTAACTTCAAATAGATAATTATATAAATTAAAAAGTGTTTTTTAAAAATGCATTTTATGATTGTGGAGAGATTAATATTAAGATGTCAAATAAATTTGATAATTTAAACGTAGTTAAAAATAAAACTCAAATGTATTGCTAAAAAAATTCCTTTAATTTGTTGACGGAAGAATGTTTTTGAAACTTGTCACAGCTCATTAAAAGCTAAAATATTGAGAACATTTTCAAACAACTTTTAAAAAAGTTGAAACTGGACTTATGGATTTTGCCAAAGAAGTCCTTAATAAATTAAAGGACTTCTTTAGTGAAAGTTTGAGATTTTATGTTTTGTATATTACTTAACAGTGAGAACAATTTCTTAATATACAAAAATATAAAATCTGAAAGTTTTGTTAAAGAAGCGATAAAATGGCAAAGTTTCATATGAACATTTATTTATATATTTAAATATTTTAAAAAGTTATCTATATATTAAAAAGTGAGACAAATGAAATCAGTTTCTGGTACGAAATTATAAAAAATCCAATGTTTTGGTGTTAAAAAATTTGATATTTTATAGTTTTTTTTCATTGAAAATTCATTTTCTACGAGATAATTTTGGTTTTCCTCATTTAGTAAATTTTCATCCATATCTTTCTACTCTATTAAAGCATTAATAGACCTTGTCCCAGAGAGAATATGAAATTATATTTAGACTAGAATTGAATTTCTATATATTAATGGCATTTCCAAATTGTCATATTGATAATTCAGTAGATGAATTATCAATGTAATGTATATTTTAATTGTAACCAAAGCATTTGATGTATATTAAGATGTGATTGTGATTGGTATAATGAGTTATGAATTGTTTTGTTGAGGTTATTTCTTCATTGACTTGTTTAATTATTGGATAGATGTATGAATCTTAGTCTTTAGTATTTTCTTTATTGTTCATATACATATAATAATTTAATTATATATTCATTTTAGTTTTAATTGATTTAGTTTGTTATTAATTATAGATTACAGTTATTAATAAACATTGATTAATATTATGCCTATTCTTTAGCATTGATGAATTTTAGTCTCATTTTCTGAATATTGTTTACTTCTACAGATTCTAAAATCCCTTTCATTGTGGAAAAAAGTTTAAATGGACGTTTACACAATGAGCATAGATCAAAATAAAGTTTGGAAAATCTTAAAAATATGGCTTTCGGCCAAGATTTTTTTAGACAATGACCTTGGCATAGTATAAAGATTGTCACAAGAAAGAAAAGAAAATCAATATTACAGTTACTTTGAAACCCAGTCTTTATACACAATAAAATGTTTGTAGTTTGATTTTAGTGTAATATTGATCAGTGACATGAAATGGAAAATAAATGTGTTTGAAGGGAAAAAATGTTTTTGAATTCAGAATAAATTTTAATGTTTGAAAAATTATTTTCCTAAATATATTAGATGAATTAATTATATAGAAAGTTTAATAATGAAGAAATTATAGCCTATAAATTTCATAAGAATGATAAAAAGTAGCCATAAATTTTAACACTCAAAGGAGAATAATCTTTTTTTTTTTTTAAATAGTTGAATATTAAAATATGATATATTGTTATTTTAGTTTTAATTAAATTATATGCTAGTTAACTCCATTATAATTTTATTTTATAATAATTTTATGATGTATAAAATGTATATCTAGAAAATTATCTTAAATTTATTTCATGGGTATAATATAAAACTATTTTAAAATAAAATTATTGGATGGAATAAATTTAAAAATTATTAAAATTATCATGATTTATTATAAAGCACTGAAATTTAAAGTTTGACATATTTTATATAATTTTTTGGAGACAAAATGAAACAAATACTAGATTCTAAGCATTTTTAGACTTCTTAGGTCCGTCATTAATGTATAAGGTCATAAAATAAACAAAAAATTTCACAAAAATAAAAAAAAACAATGAAAGAAAACATTTTGGAATGCTTTTGAAATGCTTCATCTGCTTTAAAACTTAAGAAATGTTTCCAGAATCTTTTTTTTTGAATATTTTTATTCTGGGTTTATCCTATGATAATGAACTGAGGAAGTCCAAAAACATTTGGAAGTTGTATTTACTGTATTCTGTTTATTTTTATAATAGGATTATACATATTTTTTAATTGTGATGGTTTGATATAATCTTGATTTAAACCATGAAATAATTTTAAAAATCATTTTTATTTCTTTTTGCATATTTTTATTTTGTAAAGCAGAATACCAAGATCTTTTCTTCATAATACAGTACTTCTTATATATCAATCTCATAACTACAGTTAATCATAGATTATCTATTTAGAATATATTCTAAACCATCTGACTTTTAAGAGGTTGAATCTTGATGCTACATTGACACGCACCCCTCTGAAATATCCAAAATATAACAACTTTTATATTTTAAATGATACAGAACGTTTGTATTACAGGAAATCATTATTTTGTAACTGTACTTTTGTCCCGGCCGGGGATATAGAGATTTACACGTTAAGGAATTCGGTTAATTCGAAATATGGCTACTTCGAAATTCGAAGTGAAAATTCTGTTCGAACGTGAGTTAGATCGTTCGTTTAGATCGAAGTGCCTCCATGCTGTAAGAGAACAATAGACCAAGAACAACTCTTATCTGGTCAATATGGCTTTGCTTTTATAGTAACACCCTTACACATGGACTGTCCTTTATTCTTTTATCTCATAAAATACAACTTGGTTTCCGGATTGCAAAATTGGGCGACTTATTAGTAGCAGATTGAGTAGCCTAGGCAAAGGGCGCTAGGCTACTACATTTGGGTGACTTATTACTTCTTGGGCCACTTTAAAAATAATTTGGATTGAGGAATTCTGCTTTACTTTTTATAAAACCTATCTGGAGACCTGTGAGGTACTCACCGGACTCGTGCTATTTACCTGCAGTTTGTATATATTATTATTATTTAACGAAAATAGTATTCTCTATATGTATCCGTACTCTGTTTCCTTAACAAATTACATCAGTTACTTGGCATTTGGCATATTGTACAGAAATCTGTCAATCTCGGATAATTCGAAACAGCAATTATTTCGTTCAGGAAATCAGATGGGGGTTTGCAAGCTTTTTCTTCGTCAGGCAAGATGCTTAGTCTGTAAAACTAAGCAAATTGCCTTGTATTGTACTGTACTTTTTTCTAATATCGATTGTTTCATCTATTCTAATTTAAATATAGGAATCTGTTATGTGTATACGTAAATCCTTCACAATCTTCAAAAACATGGAGGATATTGAGAACACAACTGTATAAAGGAAATTTTAAGTTCAAACTTTTTCATTTCATCCTTTCTTAATGTGGATTTGCAAGGAACCGATCTGGCGCACCACTTTTCTAAGAAATTTTTTCAAAGCAAAGTTCTGCACCTTCACAAATGGAATGGTGGCAAGTCAAAAGACAGAACAGAGTTTAATTAAAGAAAAATTCATCCTAATGTGTAGAAGAATCTCCTACCCGATGGTTCCGTTGATTTTCGTTGGAAGTACAGTACTTGCGCGTTTTTATTTGTCGTTTTCCTTTTAATTTTCGGCGTAAATAATAGTTATATTGTGCTGCTTAGCTGATACATCAACATGCTACAGGAAACCTACAAATGATCGAATAAATTAGTGTAACTCGAAATAGTATATCGCTATTGAATTGCACAGCTTGCTTATCTTTTTCTCCAAGCTTGNCAAACTAGTTGAGTTAAGATTCAGATATAAACAAATAATCTAATTAATATGAAATACTTCTTTAAAAATCCAAATTTCATTTCTTAATGTTTTCAATATAATCCTTTATAATATATTTAATTATTTAAATTTCTAGAAGGAATAGTTTTCAACAATCTAATTCTCTCAATTTCAACTGGTAAAAATATATAATTTCTTATATAAAATATAAATTAACACTTCACAGAAAATTTTTAAATTATAAAAAATTAATATTTTAAAGATTTAATATTTTATTTTGTTTTTCTTAGTGCTAAAGTGTTAAAAAATTTTTTTAAATCAAAAATTTAAATTTATAAACAAAACTTTTATGTTTTATTTGTGCTTCATGCTTTTTAATCTTTAATCTGTTAAAAATTTTATAATTTAAAAATTCCCTACAGTGTTTATTTTATGTAAAGAAGTATAGGAATTTTATAAGCAGTTAAGATGGAGAGAGTTAATCATTCAAAGACTGTTTTTAACTTTGTTCTTAGCATTTTAATTAATTAAGAGATTGAATATATTGAGAATGGAACAATATACTTGGAAAATATAAGTAAACTCTGAATACCTACTAGAGGTAGCTGTTAGGCACCATCTCTTATCTAAGTTAATAATTATTACTTAAATAATTTGTTAAATAATTTAAATCATCTGGTAGAAAAGAAATGGCCCAGGGTGGGGCTTGAACCCGCAACTTCCACTTACTGTGTAATGCACTTGCCAGTTATAAAATAGCAGATTTATAGCTTGAGTATTTAAGGCTATCATTTGGCTATACAGTATATCTATATATACATCTGGCTTCAGGTGGTTTAATATATTTATGTAAAATCTGAATTTGAAAAAAACTTTTTTTTATTAAAATAAGATATATTATATTAAGATGTAAATGTAAATAAAATGAAACTTTTGTTCATCATATTTAGACTGTCAACATTAATTATGAATTAGATGACAAAATGAATTTTTAAATGAAAACTTTCAGATTTATTTGAAACAAAAATTATTTTAGACTTGATTTTTTAAAAATTCATTTATTCATTTTTGATAAATTAATTAATTAATATCTTAGTATTATTCAAATAATTTTATCATAAAGATATTGAACAGTTTTACATTCTTATTTGGAAATTAAATTTTAATTTTGTCCAAGTCAGTTTCATTAGCTTTTGCTAAAATACATTAATTATCAACCATAAATTTATAAATCATGCTTTATTAAGAAATGATTGATTTTATATTTTTTTATTTTGCTATTTGTTGTTAATGCATAAAAGTTTTTTCGTTAGGGTCGTACTCATATATTCAAAATACACGCTCGTTCAATGAGTGTAGAACGAGACATCAGATTTGATCTCTTAGCTCGTCTTTGTCCCAATAGTACAGGTAAGAATTTAATTTTAAGACATTTCTAATTGATTTAAATAAAACAAAAATATAATTGATATATTTTGTTACAGGTGCTGAAATTCGTAGTGTTTGTACAGAAGCTGGCATGTTTGCAATTCGTGCAAGACGTAAAGTAGCAACTGAGAAAGATTTCTTAGAAGCTATCAATAAAGTTATTAAGTCTTATGCAAAATTTAGTGCAACACCACGTTACATGACTTACAATTAAAATATTTATTATATAAGAAATAATGGGGGAGTAGAATTCTTTTTATAAACAAATAATTCTTGTAAATATGGTTTGCTTTCAAATAAATCTTTTAAAACTGAATTTTTGAATATCTGAAGTCTTTTTTTTTGTTTTTTTAAATAATAATAATTGCTATTGTGGTTTTAAGTGTTTTTCAAAATCACAGATTTATTATTATTATGAATTATAAAAAAAGCAATTTTCTGTTTAAATGATAGAGAAGTACTGAGATAAAGTCCTTTGATTCATCAGCCACAAACAGAAACTAGTATGATTTTATATTATTGAATGAATATATTTTAATAGAGTAATTAAATTTTAAACATTGGGAAAGTAATAATTTTTTTTACAGTTATTTTAAATAATTTTATAAGATTCTATTTGGCCAAAATTTTTAATTAAAATTTAAAAACATATCAGTTGTGAATTATTGAAACAAGTTGAATTACAGAAATCTTAAATTTTTGGAAAATTTTATATTAATTAATTGAAACAATTTAAACTTTTTAAAAATAACAATGGACAAATGTAACTTTCAGAATACCTAGAAAATCTGTAAAAATAACTGAAAATATTTGTTGTATTATGAGAATAAATAAAGAGTAAGTTTCTAAATATTTTGTTTAAATTTTACATTTTTTTATATTTTAAAACCTTAAAAAATTACTGATTATTAATAGTTTCGTATACCGCAATCACAATTTTATGGTTTGCAGAAATTATTTATCTAATAATGAGTTATCTATAAAAAAAAAACTATTTTTTCCCCCTCTAGAATTTAGTATTTGTTTAACAAACTTTACAGATGTATCATGAAAATGTCTAAATTCTTTTTATTTAATTTAGAAAATTGTAAATTTTTAAAAACTTTTATTTTTATTTGTTTACAGTAATTTTGTAGGAAGTTAAGAGTAATAAATATACAATTGCTTATTAGTCTGCTTTCACATAATCTGATTGTTTGTCTGGAAAGGTAAAACCTGGGCATTGAATGTCAGCCGGATGAGTAGGAGGGCATTGTGGGAAATCAAACTTTCCGCACCATGAGTGTCCGCTTGGTGTGAAAAGTGTCATGCCTCGCAACTGGAGCAGATGCGAGTCTTCACACGATCCAGGTATTTGTTTGGATAGATCGTGTGAAGTGGCCTTAAAGAAACAGTTTATTATTATTATTTTTTAAACTTTAATAGATTATTACTTGATAAAAATCTGTCAAATGTTTATTACATTAAATCTATATACATTTTTTAAATTTAATTATTACTGTTTTTGTAATTAATCTTATAATTATTAGAATGATTTTTGTTTTTTGCAAAATGTTTTTGAAATAACTCGTTTGTTTCAGATGCAAAACAGAATATTTTTTATAAATTTATAATATTTCTACATAATTATTATATTTTAAATAATATACAGCACTTATTTTTATTTATAAAAGTTTTTGCCAAAAAAGGCAAATCCTATAATAATTTTTACTGGAAAATAATTTAAAATTTATTACAAAAAAAGGGGAAAAAACTATAATTTTAACATAAACAAATATTTAGCCTTTTATTCTTATGAAATTTGATACTCAATGACACTTTTTATACATTAATTTGAATATGTTTTTAGTGTTTAATGCTGATAAAAATCTAAATAGAAATTTAATTAACATAACTATAAAAATAAGTAAATGTCATGTATTTATTGAAGCAATCTCCAGGGACACAAGTTGAGGAATTTTGACTACTGTAACAATAGATTTTGTTTCTCTTAGTTTGCATTATCGCTGATTCAAATCCCACGTTGAATGTAACCATTTGTTTGTGTTGGATTTTAATGAAAATTGTTCTTTGAAACAAAAAAAATTTTGCATTTTCGTTCCTGAATGTATTAAAATAGAATTAAATAGAAATTGAATGAACTTGAAGAATAAAAAATGTTCTGCTTATTGTGATTAAAGATTATATTTTAATAAATTCTCTTGAAAAAATAGTTTACAGGAAATTAGGATCATGTAGAAGTATTATCAGACTTTGTAGTTTTATTCTTATTTAGCTAAAGTTATTTGATTAAATCAGTAAATTTAAATTGTTAAACAGACTTTTAAATTATTTTGATTAGCAAGTTTGTGCGCTATAGCAGATGTGTAAGAGAATAGATACAGTATAAATACAATTTAATCTTAATGATAGAACACACTAAAAACTTTCTTTTTATTATAAAATTATGATACATTAATGAATATATGAATTATGAATACAAATTATATATATTGTATATAGTCATCATCCAATTCTATATTGAATATAAAATAATGTTTAAATAAAAATAATTTGAGAATTATTTTTAATATTATTATATTAAAATATATTATGTTAGATTTATACAGAACAGTATTTATTTAATTTATTTGGATTAGCCAGACTTTGAAGTATGCAAATATAAGCATTATTTTTTATATTTATGTGATTGTCTGAGGTTATTGCATGTTTTTGGTAGTATTCTGTTATATAACTTCTTTTAGCTTATCATTGAATCAGCAATTGAACATATTATTTAATCAATTAAATGTACAAAAAATATTGTACTATTAATGGAATATGCAAATTTATATAATGATTAATGATCAAGAACAGTTTTTGTTGCTATTTTTGCACTGTAGGCACTAAGAAGGTCCTTTTTCTAGGGCCATTATGGGTTTGGCCGCACCTACGGCGGGGCAGCCAGATGACGAGGGACAAGATGATGTATCTGAACAATAAAAATATTATATTTGTAAAATAAACTGTATTGGAAGGAACAATTATTATTAGTTGATAACCATTAAAAGAATAATTTTAATCATGTTTGTTTAGAAAGAAAAATTAATTTATCATATTTATTCAATTGTAAAATGCCATTGAATCTAAGATGTACCTTAATTTCTACATGCTCACTGACAGATATTCTTCTTGAAAAATAGATAATTTGAGTCAAATTTATGTCAACAGAAATTCTGTTGACATAAATTTATCTATTTTTTCATTCAGTGACATAAATCAGAACATAGACATAAAACAGAATCAGTTCAATAGAGTTGATTCTGCTGACATAAATTTGTTCAATATTTATTTCATAGTAATATAAGTTATATATCACTGTTGTCTGTGGTATTGAAGTCAGAAATCTCTTCACTTTCCATGCTAGACTAGACTCTTCTGAGTCAACACTGGATTCTATGTTTACATCATTTCACATATTTAAAGCATTGGGAATTGCAATATTTCTGTGTGCTATGCAGTTTTTTTGGGATATTATTAATCCAGGTAATTACGACATTACTTTAATGGACTAATGAGATTGAGCTAAGTTGACCTCTTATATATTTACTATTATGAATGTTGGTCTAATAAAACGATTAAAATGATGCAATGGAATTAGTGACGTCTAATTACAGAAATAAGACATACGGCACTAGAAATCGCTAGTAATGATTTATTGCATCAAATCTAAGATGCATATGCATCCTATTTTCAGGGATACTAAAACTGAAGAAAATGTCATACATTGGAATAAATATGATAATATAAATGAACAAAAGATGTTGCACAGTATCACGATCCTAAAAGGAATGAGGCAACAACTGAGAGAGAGAGAATTTTACAGATGTAGAGTGAAATCAGACACTGCTACTCTTTGGTGACAATAGAAATGATGATTTATATAAATTAAAAATTCAATTTTCAGGATGGCCATAAAATTTCTATACAAGATTTACCCTTGGTCTTGGCAATAAATTCATCAGACAACGGATTACAGGTGAATCTAACAGGATGAAGTTGACTTAACAAATGACAGTTTACTTTGAGGCATTGCAAAAAAAAGATTTCTGCCTTACAACATTTGAAAACTTAAAAAGCTATTAGTTAGAGACTATTTTAATACGACAATCAGCTATCAATGTAGTTGATGGTAACCAGAAAAATATAGTGAAAAAATTAAAATTTGTGCGTTAAAGACTAACTACTATGTATAAGGACTTTTTAAACATTCTGTAAGAGTAATTTTAAAGTCTAACTTCAAATAGATAATTATATAAATTAAAAAGTGTTTTTTAAAAATGCATTTTATGATTGTGGAGAGATTAATATTAAGATGTCAAATAAATTTGATAATTTAAACGTAGTTAAAAATAAAACTCAAATGTATTGCTAAAAAAATTCCTTTAATTTGTTGACGGAAGAATGTTTTTGAAACTTGTCACAGCTCATTAAAAGCTAAAATATTGAGAACATTTTCAAACAACTTTTAAAAAAGTTGAAACTGGACTTATGGATTTTGCCAAAGAAGTCCTTAATAAATTAAAGGACTTCTTTAGTGAAAGTTTGAGATTTTATGTTTTGTATATTACTTAACAGTGAGAACAATTTCTTAATATACAAAAATATAAAATCTGAAAGTTTTGTTAAAGAAGCGATAAAATGGCAAAGTTTCATATGAACATTTATTTATATATTTAAATATTTTAAAAAGTTATCTATATATTAAAAAGTGAGACAAATGAAATCAGTTTCTGGTACGAAATTATAAAAAATCCAATGTTTTGGTGTTAAAAAATTTGATATTTTATAGTTTTTTTCATTGAAAATTCATTTTCTACGAGATAATTTTGGTTTTCCTCATTTAGTAAATTTTCATCCATATCTTTCTACTCTATTAAAGCATTAATAGACCTTGTCCCAGAGAGAATATGAAATTATATTTAGACTAGAATTGAATTTCTATATATTAATGGCATTTCCAAATTGTCATATTGATAATTCAGTAGATGAATTATCAATGTAATGTATATTTTAATTGTAACCAAAGCATTTGATGTATATTAAGATGTGATTGTGATTGGTATAATGAGTTATGAATTGTTTTGTT